AAGCAGGCCACACCCCTAGAGAAACTCCCTTTCAATGGATTATCTGCTCAAAACATATACATCTGATCCCATCACTGGAACAACCCACATCACAATTGCTAAAACCACACAGAATTGTGGTCCAGCCAAGTTGACACACAGCTCCAACTATCATAGTAGCTATTATACATGGTATTGTTTCCCCCATTTCTTTTTCAGAGATCTCTTTGTTGGTATAGAGGAATCCAAGTGATTTATGTATGCTGACCTTGTATCCTGTCACTTTGCTGAACCCCTCAATTAGTTCTAGTAGTTTTTTTTTTTTTTGTTGAGTCTCTTGGGTTTTCTATGTATAGGATCATGTCATCCACAAATAGAGATAGCTTTACTTCCTCTTTGCCAATTTGGATGCCTTTTATTTCTCTTTCTTGCCTTACTGCCCTGGCTAGGACTTCCAATACAATGTTAAATAGGAGTGGTGATAGAGGGCATCCCTGTCTGGTTCCTGTTCATAAGGGGAATGCTTTGTGTGTTAATCTTGTTATTTTGTTCTTGAATGTTTTGCCTGAGTTCTTCCAGGGGACTGTCTGTGTTCTACTTGGTTCTGTTTGGGGTTTCCTTAAGCTTTTGTAGAATTCTATAAACATATCTTCTAAATTCCATCTCAGATAATTCTATTGCCTCCACTTCCTCCATGTTTAATGAGACTTTTGTTTGGGATTTTATTTCCATTGTCTCACCCTGTTTTTGTTTGTTTGTTTGAGGTTGCCTGTTGTTTCCTAGACATTTTGAAGTTGTTGTCTTTAACTGTTATTATGTATTAATTTGTTTTGTCTTGATTTTATGATTCAATATTTTTGCAAAGGTGGAGCTGGTGTATTTTAGTTTTTTGGTTATTAATTCATGTGTGCTGGGTTGCTCTGCAGTTTTCTTTGTGATGATGGAATCACTGTACGGAATGTGGATTCAGGTCTCTGTTCATCATGAAGGGGTTTAGGATCAGAGCAGGCAGGTGTTGTGGTGGCTTAATATGGTTCTTCTATTGCATGAGGCAGGGGAGAGGCAAGGAAAGGAGGAAGAAAAGAGAAAGAAAACTCCAAGGCTCCAGTAGCTGTTTCCAGGGCTTTGGGTAGGCTGGTAATGTTTACATTATACTGTCACTCACAGGCCCACAGTTCAAATTTGGCAAAGACCCCAGTGGTTAGGGGGTTGCCACTTTCTGCCAGGTTCAGGAAGGCACAAAAACCCCCTACTCCAGGCTACTCTGTGCCAAAAAGCTGTCCTGGAAGAGCTGGACCCTTGCCCCATACCTCAAGTTCATCCCAGGGCCCACCCATTTGTGGGGTGCTTCCCTCTCTGTTTCGAATTCAGTGCCAACCTAAGCTAGAGGGGTCTCCATTCCACTTCTCAGAAATGTCTCCCTCCCATTTAACACCAGTCCCATAGTTACCAAAAGAAGCAAGTGCTATAGGTAGATCCCTGGAGGGGCCACTGGTCCTGCAGTGCTTCTGCTCCACTGCCCAGGGAGCCCTCTGATGCTCCGTCTCAAGCAGCTCGTGTGCCACAAGGCAGGTTTGTTTGTTTTCATTCTTCCCGGCTCTTTACCCTGCCTCTCTCTCCTTTCTTCTCCTTCTCCACTAAATCTGACCCTCTCCAACTTAATGAGCTGTTCAGAGCCCCAGAATCCCTGCTTAAAACTGCTATCCTTAGTTTTACAGGCAGTAAGATGCTGGGGAACTAACATGTGGCCTACAGGTAAGATGCCATCTTTCAAAGCCCACTTCCAAAGACTTTTAAGAGGTCTTTTGCAGCAAATTTTCCCAATGATAAGTTGTTTAATTCTTGACTGCTGCTTCCATGGGAACTGATTATAAATCCAAGTAAAATGAAATCCTGTAATACCCTAAAAAAAGATGGACTTAGATAAAGCTTCTGAAGTCTATGGAAGTATGGAAAGTGGGAGATCAATGATGACCAGTGGGATCTAGAAAGACTTCTTAGAGGAAGTAGAATTTAAGGTAGAATTTGAGACCTAATAGGCCCTCAGTAGATATTTGTTTAATGAAAGGCAGGTAAAGTAATTAGAAAGTTACTGTAATAGTCCAAGAAGTAACTAATGAAATTTCAGTTTAGTCTTATCCTAAAAATATTTACTAGGGGTAAAAAGAAATTCAGAATCCCTGTCCTTGAGCACCTTACAATGGAGAGATACACAATTAATTTCAGAATGTTAAAAGATAGTGGAGCATAACCAGGGCATCCTAGAAGAAACAGCATGGAGAAGGGAAGGGAGTCATTAAACAGCTCATGTATTTGTAGAACTGAAAACAAGTCCATATGACTCATGTGATAGTCTTTTTGACGTGTCTGTTTGGTTAGGTTACAGTTCCCAATTACTTAATTGAACAATAAATTTCTAGGTGTTTCTATGAATGAATTTTATAGATGTGACTAAAGTTCATTATCTTCTGACTTTAAATGAAATTTATTCTAGATAACTTGCGTGTGCCTAAATCAATGAGTTGAAAGTCCTTAAAGGCACAGCTGAGGCTTCCCTGAAGCAAAAGAAATTCCACTGTGAACAGCACTTTCAGCTTTTGCCAGAGTTTCCGCCTTCCTTTCCTGAGGATCTGCCTTATGGGTTTCCAACCTGCCTCTACCCAGCCTCCACAATCACATAAGCCAATTCCTTGCAATGGATTTCTTAACAGTACCTCTTACTAACTGTATGTACTTTGGTCATGTGATCAGAAGGGACCAATCCCTGAAGAAGGATATCATGCTTGGTGAAGTAAAGGGTTAGTGAAAAAGGGGAAGACCCCCAATGAGATAGATTGACATAGTGGCTGCAACAATGGGCTCAAGCATAGCAATGATTATGTGGATGACGCAGGATTGGGCAGGGTTTTATTTTGTTGTACAGAGGCTCGCTCTGAGTCAGAACCAATTCGATGGCACCTAACAACAACAACAACTCACTATGCTTCTGTATTTGAACCTAAGTGATATACTACAGTATTTTAAGTTAGAAAGGGAAAAGAAACGAAGGGTGAGAAGCAATAATGGTGAGATCATTAAGTGCATCTATTCTTTTACATGCTAAGAAGTTTGAACTTTACCCTGAAAAAAACAGAAAAGCATTGTAATGGCATGATCAAGGGCAGAGAGGAATCATTTTGGATGTGGTATAAAGGATGCACTGAGGCAGGAGGCAGGATGAAGGAGGATGTGGTAAGAGGTTAGAAACCAGGAACGTGACATATGAGAGAAATAAGAGGACAGATAGGAAATAAGACCATTATGGAAGCCAGGAGAATCGTGTTGGGGAAGAAATGGGTAGTCTACCTCAGGTTAGTGCATCAGAAGAATGGGAGAAGAACCCACCACATTATGATAAAAGAGGTCACTGAGGACCTCAGGAATGGCAATGTAGAGTAGAAGAGCTAGAAACTGAACTGTATTTGGCTAGGAATAGGACAGAGCAAACAAAGGTGGATTAGTTTTTCAGAAGTTTGGCTTAGAACACAGGAGGAAAGAGTAGCAAGAAAGAGAAAGGGATACAGTACCCAATGAAGAAAATTAGGATGGGAGAATCTTGAGTTAAGCCTTTTAAAGCTTGAGGGGAAAGAGCCAACAGTAAGGGTAGGAGAGAGAAATAACAACAAGGGAATATATTCTCCCTAGGAAGGCTGAAGAGAGGAGAGGTGGCCAAGGCAAAAGAGTACCTGTGGAGGGCCTGGTCAAAAACAGTGGACTTCCCTCATTTTCTGAGAACTGGAAGGAAGAGAGAGCAAAATGAGTACATTTGGAGGACCAAAGACCTGAAGTAATCCATGCCCTATGATGCCAGGTTTGTCAGTGAGGTTAGGAAACCAGGTTTCCTAAAAAGAGAGAAGATGGTATGATGTGGTTAAAGACTGAGGCCTGGCTACTTTGAGGGTGGAACCTGCCAGGATACTGCAGAGGAATCATGATTGGGTGAGAGTTACACTTTATGACTTGTGAATTCTCTTGCAATCCAATGTGATAGGAAGAAAGGCCTAGTGATCTACATCTGAAAATTAGCCAATGAAAACTTTATGAATCACAGAACACTGTTCTCTTTGCTTGCTTTGGATCCATCATCAAGATGGATCAATTATTAGAGGAAGGCGTTATATTGGTGAAGTAGAGGGCAAGTGAGGGTATGGGAAATCCTCAATGAGACAGACTGACATGATAGCCACAAAGATATATTCAACCATCCTGGTGATTGTGAGGATGACACAGGACTGGACAATGTTTTCTTCTGTGCATAGGTCACCATGAATCAGAAGCAACTTGATGACAACTAACAATAACAACAAATAAAAGTAAGGCAAGAATGTTGTTGCCTTATTCACTGATGTTTTCTTAGCATCCAGACCAGTGCCTGGCATTTCGTAGGTGTGCAATAAATATCTGTAGGATGAATGCATATTTAAATGAGCTTCTTACCCAAACAAGTGAACTAAACTCTTTAGTTGGAATTATCTGCTTTTATACAGAATTCCTCAACATGCTTAAGAGATCAAAGATGCTTGCCAGAAGCCTCAAAAGTTAATGTAATGACTCCAGTCATCTTGCTTGATCTCAGGAGGTTGTGGGCAAGTCAACTTAGACAACTGAGGCTTCAGAGAGGGTACTTTTTAGCTTGAATTTTTCCCTGGGCTATCTTAGAGCAAATTATCAGGCCAAATCCTATTGTCTTTTATTACATAATAAGTTTTTCTGAAACGAGCAAGTTTATTCACTCTGTGTTTCATTTAGATTTTGACATTGTTGGTGGATTGTACCTTAACCTTCTCTGCTACATCAAGCACTTTCTATTTTCTACCAGTTTTTGTGACATTTACCACTGAAGTAAAGAGGGGGAGGAAATCAAGTCTCTTAAAAAACAAAACAAAACATAAAAAGCAAGCTTAAATTACAGCACAGTTAGATAATAAAAAATATAATGCTGCTAAAATGGGCCCCTGCTGCACTTCTCTATGCATTATTACCTGGGTGGAAGACTTTGTTTTTCCCATTAGTGATTCCAGAAGAGCTTGCCTCCATTTTTATTGACCTTCTGCCTGGTGGGAGTGAGGAATGCCTGACCACAGGCAGGCGGCGTGACCCTGGGTGGCTTGCCACACTTCGCCGTTGATGGATTTGCAAACGCTTTTCAGCCCCATGAATAGATAAACTTAAACCTGGAAAGAGAAACAGCACCATTATATTGCAGAAGTCACCATAGTATGGTTAAAATGCCAAGTTGTTAGGCTCTGGCACCAAATCCAGAGAACACAGACAATTATTACTTACAGATTCTTAAAAGATGCTAAAACAAAAAAACAAAACAAAACAAAAAAAAACCCTGCTACCCCATAGGGTTTCCAAGGCCATATATCTTTACAGGGCCACATCTTTTTCCTGTAGAGTGGCTGATTGGGTCAAACTGCTGATCTTTTAGTTAGCAGCCAAGAGCTTTAACTACTGAGTATGTCACCAGAGTTCCACTAAGGGATGCTACCAGAAAACCAAACCAAACTCACTGCTATCAAGTTGATTCCAACTCATAGCGACCCCTTTTGGCTTTCTGAGGCAGTAAATCTTTATGAAAGTAGATTGGCCAGTCTTCCTTCAGTGGAGCAGTTGGTGGGTTTGAACCACCAACCTTCTGGTTAGCAGTCAAATGCCTTAGGTGCTATGCCCCCAAAGTTCCTAAGGGATGCTGCTGTTGTTCTTATGTGCCGTCAAGTCGGACCCGACTCATAGCAACCTCTCCTTGGGTTTCTGAGGCAGTATCACTACAGAAGTAGGCTAATGACACTAAACTATGATGTTGTTATTGTTGTAGTTATGTGCCGTCGAATTGGACCTGACTCATAGCGACCCCTCCTTGGGTTTCCGAGGAAAGTATCACTACGGAAGTAGATTGCCTCATCTTCCTTCCGAGGAGTGGCTGGGGGGTTTGAGAACCGCCAGCTTTCTGGTTAGCAGTCAAGTGCCTTAGCCATTATGCTACCAATTTTCACATGATCTTATTTATTGAACACTGTTTCATTCAAAAGTGGGGCATGTTTACTTATAAGACTTTTATAAATGGGAATCTGATGATGTCAAATATTAAAATTCTTTCATCAAAAATATACACATGTGGCATGCTGCTGTCAGGGACTATGAAAATTAGAGATTGTTGCCAAGGTATCTGAAATTAAAAAAAAAAATTGAGGAACTTTCTCCATGGAATTTATTATAGACCAGAGCATTTACATCTCTGATAATCTTAGAATTACGTTAATTTAAAAATTATTATACTCTGGACATTTTCAAACATACCAAAAGTGAAGGAACAGCACAATGAACCCCAAGTACCCATCACCTTGCTTCAACAAGTATCAATACTTTTCTGATCTGTTTCATTTATCCTTCTCCTTTTGTTATTGGCTTGCTTCTTGAGGACTGGAGTGTTTAAAAGGTAATTCCAGACCTCATGTCAATATCATACATAAATACTTTCGTGTGCACCTCTAACTGGCAGGACCATGACAATACCACACCTAACTAAATTAAATTGACAGTAATTCTTCATGCAATATAGTCTAAAACTGGCCCAAATTTCCAAGATTGCTTCAAAAACACCTTTCTAATAATTAGTTTCTTTGAACTAGAATCTCAACATTGTTGGATATTGGGTTTTGTGGTTATTTCTTACTTTGTTTTATTCTCTAATAGTCTTCCTTTCTTTTCTTCCCCCATGCCACTGATGTACAGAGAAACTTGGTAATTTGCCCTGTATAATGATCCACATTATGGATTTGACTGTGTATTTTGTCAAAGTATCATTTAACTTGTTCTTTTATCTTAAATTTCCATAAACTGGGATTATGTTCAAAGACTTAATTCAATGTAGGGTCATCTTTTTAGGAAAAATACTTCTTCAGTGGTGCTGTGTTCTTCCTATCCCACGACATTAGAAAGCCCATGATATCTAGTCATTACTCTGGTAGCATAGTGGCTATGGCACTTGACTGCTAACCAGAAGGCTGGTGGTTCAAATCCACCAGCCACTCCTAGGAAGGAAGATGGGGCAATCTACTTCCGTAGTGATACTGCCTTGGAAACCCAAGGAGGGGT